TTTCCCAGTGTTGGCACAGGATGTTCTTTTCTCACCAAAGGTCCCATTTAAGCAGTCTCACAGCAAATGTTGTATAACTATATATAGCATATTATTGCTCCTGAATCCATCAAGGTCAAGAGCTACATTACATAAGAAATTATATGCTGGTTCATTTGAATACTGCATTAGTGTTCTTGAGCTGCTGTGATACAGTACAATGAACTGGGTGACTTAAATAACAGAAATTTATTTTCTAAAGGCTAGAAGTCCAAAATTGAGAGGTTGGCAGGGTTAATTCCTTCTGAGACTATGAGGGAAGGATCTGTTCCAGGCCTCTTTCCTTGGCTTGGAGGTGACTATCTTCATGTTCTCATGGCATTATCCCCATATATAAACATGTCTAAATATCCCCATTTTATAAGGATTTCCATCATATTGGATTAGGGCCCACCCTAATGACTTCATTTTAATTGGCTTACCTCTAAAAAGACTCTATCCCCAAATAAGGTCACATTCTAAGGTACCTGGAGTTCGGATTCAAAATATGAGTTTGGAGGAGGGGGCATAATTTAACATATAACACTCACTACTGTGAAGCTTTGGTAGAAAGGGCCTGAGATTCCATTCTTTCCTCTAAATTGGAGCTCAAAAAAGGCCCATGTTAGTCAAATGAGTCACTGAACATCATTATGACTCCATAGAATGAATACTTAAATGACATTTCTATCAGTAGAGGTTGTTTCTAGAGGAAGGATTCAAAATGAACCCTGATATTGCCTAATTTAGCATAGCTGTTTTTCAAGATTCGGGTGAAATCTTCATGCTTGAGAAACTGCTGAGAATCCTCACCACAAAAAAAGATAAGAATTTGAGGTGAAGGACATGTTAATTAGCTTGATTTGATTATTCCATAGTGTATTTGTAAATCATGACATCACTTAGTATTCCATAAATTTATACAACTATAATTTGTCAATTTATAGTTTAAAAATAAATAAGCTAAATTATATAAAGATTCCCTCTAACCCAAAGATGACCACCCCTTTCCATGCCCTAATCCAAAATGGGAACAAGTGGTAGAGGTCACTGGCATCAAATTCTGACACAAAACAATAAAATACTTTCTAATAATTAAGTTCAACAGTGAACACCTGCATTTCTAAGCATGCCATCAAAAGCAGAAACTATAAAAGAGAAAGATTGATTTGACCATATTAAAAAAAACAACAGAAATGAAAACTAAAATGGGAAAATATTTGCTAAATATACAACAAAACAAAAAGTTAGTATCTTTAGTGTTCATTCATTCAATGATCATTCACTGAGAAACTACTCAATATCAGGCTCTGTTTCTAGGTGCACAAAGATAGTGAACAAGACAAAGTTCCAATGGTCAGTTAACAAAACAATGAGACCAAACTTAACACTTCAAGAGAAAAGCAAATAGAAGATATAAGCAAGAGGAGATGCAAATGGTCAATGAAGACATAAAAGAATTTGGTAATCGAAAGTACAAACTAAAATGAGTTTTTCTGTTTTGCCTACCAAATTGGCAGATCTTTCAAATTTTATGGTGTTGACAAGACAGAATGTGGACCTGCTCATATACTTCACTGGGGGTGTGTTTCAACTGGCCTTCTCATTGGTAAGGCCCAACCTGCTCCCAACTTTAGCCTGAACACATTTAAAATGCTAAAGTGCACATTTGTATGTTCCATTGCAGAAATTCTGAATCCATCAACCAGAAATGAGATCCAAAAAACTGCATCTATTAACTACCACAGGTATACTAATGCAGGTTATCCCAGGACCATAGGTGGGCACAGAGTGCCCTAGAGCCGAGACTGCAGGTGGGGCCATGCCATCAATCTAGGAGGCAAATAGTCCTAGCAGTGGGACTGTGCACAGGCTGACAATCACATGCAGAACGTTTTGTTCAATTAGATTTGATTAATTGGTCGAAATACTTCAACTCTAAAACAAAAATGTATGAAGTCATACTCACTACTGGTAGACTTTGATACTGGATCAAACACACTACACTTTGCACAATATTTATTCTCTTTGGTCCAGAAAGAAAACTTCAGAAAAAATTTACTCTATGGGCATAAGCAGTTTTTATTCAAAACATTGGTAGGACTATAGAAATTATTTAAGAGTTCTGAATAAATAAGATGAGGATGAAGCTGCTTTTAATAACTTTTCCTTAAAATGCTGGCTACGGGGAAGGGAAAAGAACGGGAAAGGAGAGAGCACTCCACATTGTGTCCCACAGATTCAGACTGTGTTTTGCAAATGTTTTCTAGTTACCATGGCAACGTCTAGGTTTCTCTGTGTAAATGGGAAATTGGGAACTTCATTTTTTGAAAAAAATGATCAGTTTGTTCTTTTTATCCTGGTGAGCGCGTTCTGTGCTGACAAATTACATTCTGACAGCTAGGTTGTAATCCAAAACATGCTTTTGTAGAGACTGTGAATAATAAAGAATCTCCAGGGCTTGACAGTTACTCTTCAGTCATATTCCTATGTATTTGCTTTCACTGAATTCAAAAGGTACACTAAAGTGCTAAATACTTGGTAAATTTTAAAAATAATTCGGAACTATATCCTCACTTGAAACACTGATAGATGTCAATTTGATTACTATACTCATGGAAACAACGCAGAAAGAAGGTGGCTTCCAAATCAGTAAGACTCGTCAAGCTGAGCTCTAGCTCCACCACTTACTGGTTATGAAGCCTTGGGCAAGGATCTTAACTCTTTGAACTTCAGTTTCTACCTATAAAATAAGAATCAGAAATAGTATGTATAACTTGTCTACAAAAATGCAAAATCTATTAAGCAGGTTCTTGATATACCATGGTTAACTATTATAGCAAAAAAAAAATCAGTGAAAACAAGGACAGAATTTTCCCAAACAGATTTGGTTTTAAAATATCAGGCTTCACACAAGAAAAAAGAATAAAAATTAAACAAAACCACACAACCGGAATTATCAGGATTGGTTTTAGCTATTTATAATGCTATTAATAGATGCTCATCAGTAAGTAACAAGGAAAGACAGTTGGAATTTTGTAAGGTGGTAAAACATGACAGGTAAACGTCAAAAAGGAAGTTTCTCAAAACGTTACAAGGTAACAGACTAAAACAACTATGTAGTCAGCTAATGTCAATGTATAATTTTGAAACATCAAATAGCCAAGCTTTTAAGCTAGTGGCAGTCATGGGGAAACAGGTCAGGAGTCTTCTGTAACTCATTCAAGATCAGGGAAAGGGATCAGCAAGGAGGAGGACTGTGCTTTTCTAGGGATGAGTCGTCTTCAAAGGAAGCTTAGTTAGCATTGAGCGGGGGCAGGTTTCTCTACTTGTTTTCCAATAGCATTTGTGAATATATCATTTCTTCTTTTTAGATCCACTGGTGGGCAGGACCCATCTGTATTCTGTATCTCTTGGTTTTCTGTTTATTAAACTGTATATAGGGGAACAAGACTTAATGCTAAGTCTTTTGTCATTACAAAAATAATTGCCCATTATTCCTTAATCTTCAATTATTATGACAAAAAAAAGAGTATCACAGGTGATCATGTGGGAAAAATATTAAAGCATTGAGCACAAATAGAAAATATTTTAAAGCATAACAAGATATTCTGAAATTTGACACTATGTAAACTTTCTTCAAAATAACCACTTCAGGGTTCTTAAATCCATACATGTGTCACATAAACTCCACCTGTATATTAGTCAGTCTATTGGAAAGTATTGACACAGAACTGGTTAAGTAACAACAATTAAAACGAGGCCCCTCAGCAATAACAGATGTGCGCACTATGCTTCCTCTATCTGAATTGCGTTTTCATTACATCTAAGGCAGCACATTCCTGAGGGCAGACGTGAGGCTGAAAAAATGTCACCTGATAGAGATTTTTCTCAACTTACTGTCCACACCTACTACTTATCAGAGACAAGGTAAACCATGGAACTCCAGGAATGTGATTTAAAAAAGAAAGTGCCAGTGATAACAGTAAGCTGTTCATTTGCGGAACTAAGTGATCCTGCATGACCACTATCACCACAGACTATCACCACTGTCTTCACTACCACCCCATTCCTTACACCTCAATGTAGCCGGATGCAAACTTAATGACCCTTCATCTGCCATTAGAAACCAGTTAAGGGTTGGGCCGCTAACCAAGCTGGGTCAATCATAGCTCCTACATAAGGTTCCCAGATAAAATACAGGAACTCAGTAAAACTGGAATGTCATATTAACAATGAACAATTTTTAGTATAAGTATGTCTCTGTGTTATATTTTTAGTGTAAGTATGTCTCAAATATAACATTTAGACATACTTAATCTACACACTATGGTAGTGTTCCCAGATCTGCCAATAATAACTACAAGTGCATAGAGTACTTTCTGTGTTCTATGCATTGTTCTAAATGCTTTATTAACTCACTAATCAAAATGATCTACGTTGACTGTTCAAGGGACTGTCAACACCTAGAGTGGAGCCTCCATAGAGTACATGAGGTGCATGTCTAGTCTATGGAAATTAGGTCAAATTAAGGAGGTGGTCAATGTAGGGGGGTGGTTAACTATGGAGGTTCTATTATTTATGGGTATGCAAATACATGCCAATATATGGAGAATTTGAGGTTAGGAAGTTACTGTGTATTTTTAAATTTCAGGAATTATGCAAAACTTCCCATAATTAAGCAATTTAACAAGCTGTCATTGTTTAGCTACAAATCAACTTGTATAAAACTGAAACATATAAAAATAAAAACTAGAAAGTAGATAATATAGTAAAGCAGTGGGTTGAGAATCTGGAAGTCTAGATTTCAGTCTCTGCTTAGTAACTAGGTGGGTGACCTTGGGAAAGTCTCTTCTCTTCTCTGGATCTAGGCTTCATTATCTTCAACATGAGATTTGGAAAAGATTACGTTTATGGTCATTGCTGCCCCTAAAGTTCCATTATAATATTGGAAAATCAGCTTTCAGAGGAAAGATGATTACCTCTGCAATCATTCTGTTGGTGTCTCCTAGAAATAGCAAATTCAGGGCTTCCTCCTCCGTGGTTGCCTGATGATGAGATAGGTTTTTTAGGTGAATGTTCTGTTCAGGGTCCTCCAATATTGTCACTCTCCTAGGGAAATGGGAAGCAAGAAAACAACATACTATTGAAAATGAAAGGAACTTGAAGTCTTCCCCATAGGCTTATTTTAAAAAGCTGTGTAGTATGACGTCTTGAACTTATAAAACTGAATAACCCACAAGATACCAGACAGCCCTGGATTAGCATCAAATACTGATATTCCCTTGACAGGACTATCAAATAGCTTTGGGGATGAAAAATATATTATAAGCTCCTGATTTAAAGCCACCTGTCATTGCAATTGTCAGATTATAAATTATTTTAAAATGCATAGTCTTCCTGAATCAAAAATGCAAATAGGTAATAATTTTCTATCTGGATATCGTGAAACTAAGCCATATTGGTTTTTTCCCTATATCATAATTCAGTTTCTTACATAGGTAATACGCTAATCCTTTGGTTCAATTTTATATTATTTTCAATTTACATGACATTTCAAACTGTTTAGCTCATCAACTTAAACGCGATGAAAATCAAGGCATCTGTCATCCCTCTAGGAGTTATTCCCACATCTAATTTTCTTCTCAAAGTGAGCAAAAAGTTCTCAAAAAGACTTACAATAAAGATTTAGTTTGTCACTATTATTTTAATATCTGTCAAATCTGTTTCTTGATCCTTTTTCCTTTACAACATACCTTTTCCTTCCATTACATCCTTTGAGTCAGACTTAAACCTGGAATTACACTCATCTGTTACAACCACCTTGATGGGCATCCTGGTGCCAATAGCATTTCCCCCCAGGTGAGTCCTAACCCTGTCTCCAGAGTTGGCTTGTCAATGCTCTCCTTAAAGTTCTTTCATTTCAGGACTCCGGGCAACTTGGCCAAACTCCTCATATTCTGCTGCAAAGGCCTACAGATTTGAGCCATCCATTTACTAAAGAGAGTTCCCTTTTGCCAATTGTGTTTTGCCTCCTTTATTTTCTTTAGAATTGTCAAGGAAAGAAAATCTTGTCATTCACAAGGGTCTGCCAAAAAGTATCTCCAGGTATCTTCACTTGCTTAAAACGTTTGGATTTGATGACGCTCAGTAAAGGTTGACGTCACCCAGCAGTTTTTTTTTTCTTTAAAATAACTGGCAAATGGACATGTGCCATTTTCCTATTTATAAAAACTTATTTAGAATACCTTAAAAATGAAGATTTTAAAAATACCTTAGTTTTTCATCCTTCACTTTTGTAAGGAAGTTATCTGGACTTTCATATGTAATTAGTGGGCATTTAAAATACTAATTGCAGGAAGAAAATGTAGCTTTACAAGCACATCTGTGACCAATATGTCACTAATAATGCCCTCCTTTGCCAAGTTTTAGACTCCTTTTCATCTCCTTCAACAAGACCAGCAGAGATGGAAAAAGATCTCTTCTCTTAATGAAAACAAATGTAATTTACTGATTTTTCAACAAGACTCTTAAATGAGTTTATTAAAAATGCTTAAGAGTTCAAAAAAATGAAGGCACTTTTAATTGAAATGAATGAGTTGTATTCTATTTTTAGGAACCCTCTTTATTTCTTAAACTTTATTTCCACACTGATTTTTCTGAGGCACTCAAGAAAGTTCGACTAAATTAAATCCCTAAGGACACAGAAGTCACAGTTTTTCCTAAATCCACAGATTCTAGGGTTTACAGGTGTAAGAAGTTAAGTAATATTGGAAGGTAAAGTAATAAAATAAGTGATGAGATCGTATATTAAAAGAGAAGAGGTCCTGCCTTTCTTTGCATGAAGTCAAAAACAAATTCTTCAGCTTTGAGGCAAAGTCACCTATGATGCATGTCGCAAGACTAAAACTGATGGAATACTATTCCTGTGCAAATTCAGAAAAGGGAGAAGTGACGTAGCAGGAAAGGATTCAAAGCAGGATGCA